GCAATCAAAAGGAGGGATGCCACCAAATGTGGCAAGGGGTAGTGCGGGGGGAACAGAATGGTCGAAAATTAAAACATGAAAATAAATTAACAGAAAATAGCGCAGGGCAAACGGTTTGTTATGCGACCCCTTAATGATGTTGTTCAACAAATTTCTTAATTTTTGTGTGGGTTTTTTTTTTTGGTGAAAAATGAAGGGAAATGGCGTGATGCCATTTTATTTTCCACTATCGGAATAGTGGAAATGGTAGGGTGGAGTTTATAGTAGTTTAATTAAGGACTGGAAGCGGAATATTTAATGTTTTATCTTTTTTAAGAAATTTAAAAATGAAAAATGTGGAAACTACATGAAACTCTCCCTAAATAATGATAAATAAATGAGGACACATTATCTAAAATAACTATCAAAACTTTACTGTATATTCTAACCGTTTTATGTATATTTTTTATCCACTTCTAGAATCAAGTTCCACATCTAAAAATATGTTACTACACCATATTTATCCTAGAGCCCGCACCCACCCACCCCAACACTCTCTCTGTTGTGGCAGGTTCACCCTTCTCTTGTCACCGCAAATGTTGCAACAGTTTTTACTGTTTGCTGTTGTTGCAACTGCTGCAACTTTTGGCTGCTGCTGATTCTGTTGCTGTTTTGCATGCGAATGAGGATGCGATATGTATGTGTCTGTATGTGTGTGTGTGTTTGGGTGCCTCATCAACAACCAATGTGCAACAAAAACCAGAGAGACAAAAGCAGCAGGAGCAGGAACAGCAGCATCATCCCACATCCACATCCACGTCCATGTCCATGTCCATTCGATGCTCTTTGCTGAACAGATGGATTCATGTTTGAGGCATGGGGACGCATTTCCTCTAGGAGTTTGAGTTTCGGCCGGGATGGGGCGGGGGGGTTCGTGCAACATTCCTGTTTTCTCGCATTTATTGTTTTTGTGTGGTGTGTGCTGCATGTGGCAGAGGGGCAGGATGGTTGGATGGTGGGTGGCGTGGCAAGCGTAAAAGCCGCAGCCGAACAAACACATTTCAATCAAAAAGCCCGACAGGGAGCACGTGGGTGGCCTCCACAGTGTAGCGGAGCGCAGGGGAGCTGGAGGCGCCTCTGTTTGCCATGTGGTAAAAGGGGTGGAACGGAGGGGTGGCGCTGCACAACCAGCATAACTGTTGCTGGACCTCGAGACGGGACCACCGACCATGGGGCCATTGCCACACAACTGCCACAAAGTGGCACTTGCCAGGTTTTTGACACAAGTTGATGCAGCTGCAAGGATGGCTGCTGCTGGCTTGCCACATGCCAACGCAGGTTTCCACTTGCCACTGCAGCAGCAGTGCCACGCGGATACCACGGATAAGTGTTGCAGCAGCAGCGTTTGTGGCATGCCCAACTGATTTTGGCCAACAACACACAAAATGAAGATATTCGAAATGTGCAACATCGTTGCTGCTGCTGCCCCACGCTTACATTTCATGTGCTTTCATTTATGCAACTTTGTCCTTGCGGCGGCAGTTGTGTCTGCCACGCCTCTGCCCCAAGGGCAATGGCAGCACCGCCCCACTGCCTTGCCACTTGCCACATGACAGTTTGAAGTCTGACAGGGTGGAAAACATTGCAACAATGCAGAAATATTTCACAGAGCGAAAAATTTGAATAGAAAGAAAGCCGATTATAGGGATGGCAGTGATTGGGTTAGTTTTCGATATTGTTTGTGAATCATATGCCGCTTTTCGAATAAAAATTGATAGCAGCGCACTCCATTTATCGATAAATAAGGGAAAATTCGACATTTATCGATCATAAATCTGTTCAAAATAACAATGGAAATCGATACCTCATCGATTAGAATCAACTTTTACCCTCTACTGTGCATCGAGATTGTATTTTATATTTACCGATTATAAGGGAAAATTATTTAACGATAACTCATAATCTATGTATCGGTAACTTATCGTAATGGAGCTTGTACTACAATCTGTGCTCCACAAAAATGCATGACGGTGCAGACAACACAGCACAGCGACAGCTTTTCACTTTGGTCTTTGGGGTATCGCCCAGACCCATGTGTAAAAAGCCAAACCCCTTCTCTTCCCAAGAAAACCAGCTCCTCCTTGGCACTAGCCCTTCTTTGGAAGGCTGGGGTGGGGAGGTAAACATTTAGTTTTGGGGGCATATTGTGGAGTATACAATTTGCTTTGCTTTCGTTTTAATTTATTTTATTGCAAAATGCATTTCTTTGCCTTCGGTTGTGTTTTTTTTTTTTTCGGTGCTTTCTTTTGGCTCCCAAAGACAGACTTGATCTGACTCTGACCCGAACTGGCAAACTGGAACCGAGGAGAACCGAAAGTGTCGCCCGCCGCTGACTTTTGCCAGCTAAAACAGAAACAGAAATGAAAACAAATTTAATTTAAGTGTCAGTGACGCTTTTCATGAGGTTCCACAGTGCGACAGAGAGAGAGAGAGAGAGAGGGGGGTTGGGAGGCAACCGCAGAGAACTTGCCCCCGGAAGAAGTTTATTTTTTGTTTGTTTTTGTTCTGTTTTTTGGCTGTCACAAAAGTCAGCTGTCGCTTGCTGCAAGTCAAGGAGTTGTTAGGTGGGCTGGGGAGGGGAGGGATTATCATCATCGTTTTGTGTGGCAAAAACGACACGCAACACCATTATTTGCCACACACTGACAGGCCACGCTTCCTGCGGGTGTTGCATGATCTCTCCTCTGACTCCTGCTCTCCATTCCCTTTTTTTTATTATCAAGGACCTACGATTGCTTCCCCCAGTCCATATGGTCGTCCAATGGTCGTCGTCGTCGTTATTTGTCCGCCCCGTTGTGTCCTTCAAGTGTTACTTGAAAACAACTTGAACTAAACTGCTGAAAACCATGCACTTGCACTCCATTCAGTCCATTGCTGCCTCGCAACCTCCACTGCCACACTGCACACTCTACATTCTACATTGGTGCAACCGAACCACGAACCGAACCCCTTGGCACTTTTCATTTTTAACCAGGTTTGGCTGCCTGACAAAACTTTTCGCCATTGGGGATACGTGTGTGTGCACCCAAGACTTTACTTTTGCCATCGTTGCTGGAAGCGCACAAGGACACTTGACAACGGCAGCAGCAGCAGCAGCAGAAGGAGTAGCAGCAGCAGCAGGACTCTGAACTGTGCTCTGGCCCTGGCCCCTAGTCCTGGCCCGAGACCTAGCCCTTGTCTACTGTCCCTGACATTAAAGCCGCATTACGTGTCCTCGATGGCAACTTTAATTGCAGCCTTAACAAGGGTTTCCAATTTGTTACCAAAATATCAAGCGAGGGATAGCAAAAATATAACAGATATGAAGCACGCTTGTTGGGCAGGGCGAAGGGGTTCCATAATCCACAATCCTTTTCCACAATCCCTACGGAATACCCTTAATTTAAGTAAAGAAGCACAAACGAAAAACTCCACCGAGGGGCAGTGCTGCATGTCGCGTAAGTCCTGAAATATCATTGATTTCTGCTTGATAACTGAAAAAAGTTGGAAAGAGAGTTTCCAATGCAAATGATTGGCTTAAAAATTTTCAAAGATAGTTCCTGGTTCTTGAGTTTAGTTATTTCACCCACTGATTGATTTATCTTGACATTGAACTCGCCTGAAAGAGTTCCCTCTCTCTATCTCTAGTTTGAAACGTCAGCGCTTAATGACCTGCTAAGTGAACGAGTAAAATATTTCCTGGATTGTTGATTGTTCAGATTGTGTTGGTGTCGAGGAGGTGCTTAAAGATCAGCGCGTCAAACCCAAATATGATTTAGCAATTAGCGGTGAAGCAGAGGGGTAAACATCCAAACACTAATGATCGCAGAAAACCCCACTCAGACGATGATATCATATGGCCACAGTCACAACAGCTGTGTGAGATCTACTGATCTCATTTGGTATGCGATGTGCGATGCGAACCCTAGAGAATGTGCAATGGAGAGACGCACAAACAACAGATGACGTACCCACCCAACAATCGCGCACTCAATGACGTCAGTCCTGCGGCAGTCGGGGTCTGTTGTTGCATTGAATGTGTCATCGATTGTGCATCGATTGTTTGTGTGTGTGTGTATTCTGTGCATCGATTGCATCACAGTCGAGTTTGTCGTGTGACTATAGTAATATTTTGTGTCTGTGTGTGCATATAGAGATCTCTATAGCGAGATCTGTCGGGTGACTAATGCCACCATCGCCATCGCCATCATCATCATCGTGAATGTGGGTCAGGCATGAATTTGCATTTGGCCAAGTCTATTTTGGGGCAGCAGTCGGCAGTCGGCTGTTGCGGCAGCAGCTAAAATACAAAAATATTTTGGGTCATAAAATCAGCGACAGAATTGCGAATTAATCATAGAACTCAAGCGGTGCCAGGCGAATAACCAGGTGGGGGGTATAGTATATCTAGGTGTAGACATAAGTAATACCCTTGAATATCAATGGGGGATAGAGTAAGGTAGGGATATGGAATGATTAGGGGGATTTTAGTGTAGATTTAAGATGGATAAAGCTTCCATTTGGAAAGATGAATGTTTGTCGTCTATAATTCATAGTCCTTGACCCCAAAAATGAACCCTTAAAGCACATCATCTACCCTCTTTCTATCTCCCATAAACCGCGGTAATAAACCAAAACCAAATAATACGAGTAACCGGAACCAAAAACCCAAAAAGCAGAGAGCAGAAAATACACAGAAAAGAAGAGGTTCTGTTGTTTCGTTGGACAAAATCAATTGACATGATTTTCTACATTGCCATAACAACAACAACAGCAAATGCTGGTAACCCATATATCGGTTGCCCCGTCCCGTCCCGTGTCGTGGTACGAATGTTGGCCACCCAAATACGCAAATATCCTTTCCTTTCATTTCCCATCCAAATGATCGATCAAACTTTGGGGTTGCCATCGTGACCATCAAACTAACCTAAGCCAAGTCGAAAGTTAAAGCGTTGGCCAGAAATCAGTTGAGTTGAGGCCAGCAAAGGAGCAGGGACATATCTGATCACCCCCCCCACCCAACCGCAAGAAGATAAAACCCAGGAAGGGCCAGGAAGAGTAGGATCCATCTAACCAGAAAAGATGTGCGACTGTGGATGCTATTCGTATTGCCTGCATGACAGTGGGTCCTGCTACAGTCACTACCATTCGCATTCGCACTCGCATTCGCATCATTGCTGTGCGGGATACAAGTATCTCAAGTGCCTCTGTCGCTACTATCGTCATGTGCACTGCACCTGTTCCTGTTGGCGTCGGAAATGCTATCTGCTGTAAGGAGAAGAAATGGCAGCAGGAGGAGCAGCATCATCAGCAGGAGAAGGATTCCTAGAGGGATAAGCAGCGCACACACACACACACACAAATCACAACTCAAACAACGCAAATCACACAGAAATCACATGATAAAGTCCTTTAAGTAGTTGCATAACACTTGGCTGCATCCAATCGAACACACAGGGCAGGAGAAGGAGACGGTGACGGAGAAGGAGAAGGAGAAGGAGGTGAAGGCGTCGTCGGTCGTCCGGTATGGCGATGGGGTTTTTGTGTGGCAACTAGCGTGCATACGGGTCGTATGTGCAACGTTTTCAGTTGTTTGTGTGAGTGCAAAAGAATGCGAGCGAGTGTGGGTGGGGCGTCCCGTGAGTGCTACAGTGTCTGCTGTTTGTGTGTGTGTGTGTGTTCGTGTACGAGTGTTTGTCTGTGCCTGTGCCTGGAGAAAAATGGTTCAAGGATGTGGCCAACATGGTTATCGACTATTTGGTTCAGTTGCAACACACCCAAAACACACACAAAAAAAGAAAAGAATACACATTCATTCGTTGCACCAATAAAAACAAAAACAAAAAAACCTTAATCCAAAAAACAGTTCCAATTAGTGCATAAGTTTTAATCACATACACACACACACCCACACATCACATATCGTTATCGAATTATTATACATGTATGTTGTAGCTGTAGTTATCGATCGATAATGTTCGATCAACTTCCGATTGATGTTCGATTTTCGCCATATTTGTAATGTCGTTTTAATCAAATCAAACCAACCAACAATCCAACCAAATAAAGTTTTACTCCAACACCACACAAAAATGGAGAGATTTTCTAGAAGGAAAAGTGAATGGGATGGAGAAGTACTCACTTTCTAAAGATTTGCAACAAATATAATACTTTGGGGAGAAATTACTACAATAATTAAACTTTTCTTAGTAAAAGTTCTTTTTTCTAGGCATAAATTTGGAAAAATTATAAAATTAGCCAACAAATTTCTAGAATAAATTAATTACAACAAACTTAAAAATTGCGAAATTTTCATAAAGTTTTAAAGGTAGTAGAAAGTAGAATCAATGAAGAAAGAGAGCTTTATCGTAGGGAGTACCAGAAACCAAACAGTCCATAAAGTGTTATCTGACCATATTGTGCACCAGAAGAGGAACATAAGCTTATCATTTTTCCTAGTTTCCTAGTAGAAACTATGAAAATAATTCTAGGATATAAAGATACAATAGTTTCCTGAGGAACTTGCTAAGAATTATATGATTTATTCTAACCAAAGTAGGGAAACCATATGTGCTGACTTTCCCGGTACAGTAATCCCTTCCCATTTGTGTCACTCACAAAACCGTATGCCCAAAAACCAATTCCATTTCCATCTAATTGGTAAACAACCCCCAAACATACCCACAGCCCATACCATCCCCCATTTATATGAATTATGAATATTATGAGGCTCCTCCTGCCGTTCCATAATTCCCTCCTGCCGGTAATCATCTTTTGCTGACTTTTGACTTCGATAAGTTGCTCCTCTTCTGGTTTAACGTTGACATTGCCCAATTGGCCATATGCAAATACCAACAAAGAGCCTCTCTAAGCCTCCCGCTCCTTCGTCATGGCCAACGCTAGCGCCCCTTGTGACAGCTGTTATTCCATCCCCCAAAAAAGGAAAAAGACTAAAAGTCAAAAATGGAAATGTTGTTGTCATTATGTGCATTGAATTACGTTTATTTGATGTCTCCAACCCTCGGAATGCCAACCGACTGCCCATTCCATCCCACACCGTGTGTCGCTTTGCTCGCCTTATAGGAGGAGGTTGCCAGACCTGACAATGATTATCCGCCATAACGACACCTACACCCTACATCCACCCGCCCCTACTGCTGCCCATTAAAGGTGTTCCGGCCGACAAACAAGGTGATTATGGCCAAAAGCGAGTTGCTCTCTGGACTCCCTGCTAATGGACTCGGTCAAATGTCCTGTCGGGGCAGGCAAAATGCCTGAAAAAACAGCAGGGGAAAAATGTACGTAAATATAAGTATACGGCGGACAGACGGGGACTACGCGAGCATTTATTTAAATTTTTTTGCACTGCAGGTCCGCAAAGGACGTGACTGTGTGACTCTGCTGCGAGTGTGGCTGAAATTCTGTCTTTCTACTGGAAAATTTCACCGACTGCCGCCTCATGAATATCAAATGATGACGCAGCAGAGTAGAGTGGGAGCGAAAGAGGGTGTGGACTGGGTGGAAGTGGTGGTGGGGGGTGTATCAACTTTGATATTGGTTTTTGATTATCCTGCAACGAAGGCGGACATATAATGAAGCAGCATTGAGGATGAGGGTGCAGGCAGGGTGCACGGCTGTCACATTCCTGTTAACATTTTAATTAACATTTTTGTTGGTAAAGCGTTAAAAATGTTTGGGTCATTCTGTTGAAACCAGCTACCAGATGGGGCGTGAAAGATATGGCTAACAATGTGAACGATTTGCCATTATGAAAAGGGGAGGGGAATGCAAGGAAATGTGCTTCAGATACCACGAAATTAAGGCTTTTTTAATAGCAAAAAATATTAAATAAACCATCTCAGAAATACTAAAAATACACAAAAATTATTCCATAAAATACACAAAACTTCCACAATTACATTACGAAATTAGACTTAAAAACAAAACAAATAAAAAATAAAATAAATAAATAAAATAAATAAATAAAATAAATAAATAAAACCTATGCAAAATAATACAAAATAATGCTGCATATTCTGTGTCAAAATTACAAAAATAAAGCAACATAAAATCTGCTAATTCTTTTGGCGGGACATTCAAATGAAGTAGAACCGCAGCAGAAGACACCCAAATTAGTAGCTCCTCTTAAGTACTTGCAGTACACGCTGCTAATGAAGTCTCTGCAATCCGCTCCGCCCCACTTTCCCTGCACGCACCGACTCGCACCACTCTCTTCTTTTTACCACACCCCCACCAACATTGATTGCTCTTCCTTCTTCCCCACTCTCTATCCCACTCTTGTTTTAGCCACATTTTATGACTTCGGCCCCATAAAATTTTCCAGCTGACTAAATTTAAATTGCGCTTGCTAAAAAAAAAAAAACTAAAGCTCTTCGTCCAACATCTTTTGCAGAATGGTAGCGGGAAGAGAGAGAGAGAGAGGGGGGTGGGTGGGCTGGCCAGGCAGGCAGGCAGGAAGGAGGCGTTGTGGCACGCGGACAGGTGGGGCAGGCAGAGGAGGAGGCGTGGCTGACGACGTCGTCGTCATCATCATTCTTTCGCTGTCTGACGCGGCCGCGGCGGCGGCGCTTGACTGCAACAATGTTGCCGCAACATAATTGTCTGGTGCTTAATGCGCTTGTATGCTCGATTACCGCTCGCTCGCCTTCCTCCGTGTGGCATTTGAAGCTCCTCCCCACCTTCCCTCTGCAGCAATCCGCTATGCCTTCCCCTCTCCACTTGTTCCGCCTGCATTTGCTACAAAATTGCAGCGCCAGCTCCGAAATGAGGAGAAAATATGAATTGTTTTCTTTGGCACGTCAGTGGGGCATGGTCTAGACTCTAGAGGCTAGCGAGATGATGGGAAGTGCTTCAGGAGGGGGGAAAAGGTAGAGGTGCCTCAGGAGGAGCGCCTGAGAGGCGGCGCAGTAGTCGTGTTTAGTAGGCGGTTGCACAGTCGCAGGCCGTGTGTATAAATCTTGTGCACTGAAAAACTCCCCTTCAGAAACCCCGAAAAAAACATCCTCCTCTACCTGTGTGGTCCGTGGAGTCCGCCTTGAGTTTATCGATAAATAATCGCCGCATAATTCATGCTTTAGGTTTTTTCCTCTCCTTAAGAAAATAAGGAAATTTACACACAATTTATTACAATCGTTTTATGGGGCTAACAAGATCACAAATATTGCAAAAATATATATGATATTTGGGAACCAAAATGTTACCCGAAGACTTTCTCTGTGGGCGAAAATCAATCTATTTAATATCTCTTTATAATTTTTTGTACAACTTTTCCTGGATGATCTGATCAGATAATCCTTCAGATCAATTTTGGATGTCGCTTCTGTGAATTCTTCTTAATCGTATAACCATGATGTTTAGCCCATAAACTCCATCAAATATTTAATCCTCCCTCTGTCATCATCTTTTCTGTCTTGCTCTTTGGATAATCATCACATGGCTTCAGCTTTCGAAGTCATCAACCTGTGCAAAAGAAGTACAAAAATCAGTTTAACAGGAACCCGTCAATGTTGCAGCAGCAGCAGCAGCAACAGCTTCCGCCTGCCCCTGCCCCTGTATGCCCCATCCCCAGGGGCACTTCCAATCAGTTGTCAGTGATTCCTTTTCACACTGTTTGCCAGATCTATTAGCAGCGGCATGACACAAAATGCTCTGGCCATCAACTGTGTATACCACAACAGCCACACAGCCACTGCCGCAAGCTCCCCTGCCTTATGTCTCATGCCCCATTCACCATTCATTATGTCTGTCTGCATTTGACTCTGACTCTGCCTCTGGGTGCTGCCGCTGCAACAATGTTGCATATGAATAATGCCCCGAGAGGCGGTTGAACAGAGGAACAAACAACTTAAGCGCTCAGAAAAAAAAAAAACCCTGAAGTTTTTATTTATTTTAATTCTGCTTAAACCCTCTCTAGGGTCACCCCTTAACCCTTTTGGCTCCGCTCAAACCTTTGGCAGCCCCCCTCCCTTAACCCAATGCTCATCTGGCAGACTGGTAAAAAATTAAGTTTAGTGCAACGACTGATGATGACGCGACGACTTAATGATGCTGCTGCTCGTTGCTCGCTGAGGCTCACACAACTTTGTTGTCTGTGGCGTGTGTGCTTCTTCTTCCATCACACAACAGAAGATCCCTCAACCGGAGACATCAACCGGAGACGGACGGACCTGTAGACGCAGACGAAAACGGAGTCGGCAATTGCAAATCATTGAAGTCATTAGCACACCAGTCAAAGCAGAGCAAGGGAGATGGTTGTCAGCACAGTGAGAGAGAGAATGCGAGAGAGGTGGGAAGTCTAGCTGTAGCAGAGGGGGTGTGAGAGAGTGGCTTTGGGTTGGCAGAGGGTTATCTGTGCCTGCCATGTTTTCTTAGCCATTTGTAATCATATTTAACTGTTTGGCAAAAATGAAGCAAAAACTTAACAGAAAATTCACTCAATAGAGATCGAAGCTGCACATACACTTAAAAAATTATAATTTGAGATTCTTTTGTGCTACAGAAGCTATGAAGATCATTCCGCTATCATAGTTTGTGCTCCTTTTGGTTGGTATTTATATGAAAATTTTATAAAGCATCCCATAACTGCAATGGCATATAGAAGCCTGATATTAATCGAATTTCAAAATAATTTGCTGTAGTAGAAATTCCGTCAAATTTCTCCTCGGTTTCATCTTCCCCACTTCGGCTTGAAAGCACATATACCCTTTTAATGTTAGGGCATGCCAAAAAACTACAGATATTTTGCCTACTCACGCTCCACGCTCCCATTGTGTGAGATGTGCTGCTCTGGCACCTTAGCACCGAACCCGAACCTCCTCCGGCATGTCTCTGCACTCCACTATCTACAAATATATACACTCATTCCTCCCCAGACTAGTCTCCCTCTCTCCTGGTAATCGCGATCATCTTTCACTTTCTGCCGCTGGCGCAGGCGCAGCAGCAGCTCTTTTTTCCCCCCTATCTCACTGTCTGTGTCTGCCTCTTTTTTTCGTTGTTGCTCTGCGGCAAATGCAATTCAGACAATTCCATTCAACGGACACCGTCTGTGAACCTCCCTGCACCCTCTTTTCCCGTCTGTCTGTCTG